CTGGCAGGGCCACATTGCACAGCCCCCCTGCATAGCGGGGGGCAGCAGGGCTCAGCCCCGACTGCCTGGCACCCATGTTGCTGCATCGCACAGGTGCAGCCCAAATTGGCAGGGCACCATGTGGTGCCTCACACTGTCTGGCAGTTTGGGGCCGCTCAGGCTGAGTGGTGCTGAACCCTGGGTGACAACTGCGGCATCCCCGAGTGGTCTGACAGCACGTGGTACTCTGCCAAGCCTGGCCACACCTGTACAATGTGGCAGTGGCCGTGCGGGTGCCAGGCAACCAGGGCTGAGCTCTGCTGCCCAGTGCTGTGCGGGAAGGGGCGGGGGGGTTGTGCCACAAGGCCCTGAGCACCCCAATCGCTGCTGCTGCTGCTACTGCTGGTAAACTGCGGGTGGTGTTTGAGGCTGGAGCCTGGCAGGGGTGTGATCAGGAGGCTGGAGCTGAGCAGGGGAAATGCCTCAATCATCTCTAGCCTCCCAATCACTCCCCTCCTTTTCTCCAGTTCCCTGCTCCTTCCATGGCTCATCTCTAGCTCCCTGCTCATTCCGTTGCTCGTCTCCAGCCCCCTGCTTGATCCCCTGCTTGTCTCAAGCCCTGTGCTTGTTCCCCTGTTCGTCTCCTGCTCCCTGAGGGCTGGTACTCCAGACTCCCTTCCTCCCCTGCTGGTCCCCAGCCCCTTGCTTGTCCCTCCCCCCTCATTTCCAGCCTCCTGCTTGCTACCCCACTGGTCTTCAGCCCCTGGCTCATTCCCTTGCTTTTCTCCAGCCTCAGGGGCTGGAGAGGAGCAGGGGAATAAGCTGAGGACCGGAGAGGAGCAGGGGAATGAGCAGGAGGCTAGACAAGGTAGGGGAGCAGCAGGGGGCTGGGATCAGGCAGGGGGCTGTCAGCCCTGTGGGAGGTGTGCTGGGGGGGGAGTCTGGGACGCTACAGGCAGGGCAGTTCATGTGCTGTGCCGGGGAGCTGCACCCTGTGGGGGGTAGGGGACCCACCCCTCCAAAGCACCCCCCAACACAATCCCCATCACACTCACAGTCCTCCCACACCTACCCACACACTGACCTGCATCCCTCCACACCCACCCACACAAACACCCACCCTGTGATAAGGAAAACAAAAGCAAGCATCAAAACATATAGCTATTTAGGATTTATTTTATTATGATGATGTAGCCCTGTGGGGTCAAGCCAACTCACAGGATCTCAATATTGTGCTGTTAGACAGGAGGGTGTGACACAAATGCACCTATACAAACACACAAATCAATTAGGTGCATCCATACACAC